CCTCACAGGAGAAACTCGGCGCTCTCGTCGAGCATCTGTGTTTTGAAGCTGTGGAGAAAATCCTGAAGCTGGTCAATCTGAGCGTTATGAAGAGCGGCGAGATGCATGATGGGAGCGAGGGTGTTTCAGAGACAGCCGGAGGTCAGTACTCTGACCTCTGATTGGCTGCGGGTTGAACAGCTGGGACGGGGTCCCTGAAAGAATGATTACATCACCACCTAAACGCCTCAGGTTGTATACTTGCTGTTTCCTGTTTTGCAGGCGAAGGCGGCGGTGGCGCTCCCTTCCCCCCCTCAGAGCAGACCTACATCTTGGTTTACGAGGTCAGTGAGTGAGTCCAGCTAACTGCCAGAGAACGAGCGCTAAGCGAGCACTGACACCTGTCCTCTGTCTTTCAGAACGCCGCCGCCGACTCACAGTGTGTGCTGGTGTCACTGGAGAGTCACGCTAACGGTGAGAAGTCTGATTTGTCACTGATTAAACCTGAAAAAGGGGAGGTTCTTATCCACGGTGTGGGTGTTATGCAGCAGGCCACACCCCCGGACAGGCACCTGTTTGGTGTCGTCTGTAGCGTGAAGTCACAGCATCATGATTGGCTGTGACATCATATTTTCTCAGGTTACTTGATAGTTTTTTAAGATGTGCGAGCGCTGTCCGACGTCCTGCTCACAGACTTCCTGTTGCTCTGTTGCAGGTGGAAATGAAAGCACGCGTGATGTCACAGGTCAGGGGACAGAGCTCTCCCCCTCCTCGTCTGCGCCTCAGGCCGATGACCACGAGTACGCTCGCTCGACGTCGCCTCCATCCAGCAGTGCCTCAGCGGCAGTGGGCGGGGTCAGGAAGAGGCCTCGCGGCCGCAGGAAGCAAGCTCGAATCGTGGCGTCTGGTGAGGCAACAGAGACTCACCTACAGTGCTCGCACTGCGCCATGTTGTTTCCAAACAGCGAGCGGCTCGCCGACCACGAGAAGAAGGCTCACCCGGCGTGCTCGGTGTGTGGCCTGCGGTTCACTGGTGTCCTGAAACTGCGTGAACACGAGCTGAAAAATCACGGGCTGCTGCCGTACACCTGCGACTTCTGCCCGAAGAGGTTTAACCACAAGGCGCATCGCGACCTGCACGTGAGGGCGCGGCACACCGGCGAGAAGAGCTGCCACTGCGACATCTGCGGGAAGGGCTACGCCTGCGTGAGCGTGCTGAAGACGCACCGCATCACGCACTTCGACAAGTCGTTCATCTGTGACGTCTGCGGGAAGGGCTTCTACCACGCCTGCCACCTGACACGCCACAAGCTGGTGCACCAGGAAGTGCGGCCGTTCCGCTGCCCCACCTGCGGGAAGGGCTTCACGCAGGCCGCCAACCTGCGCAGCCACCAGGCGACGCACACCGGCGAGCGGCAGCTCTGCTCTGTCTGCGGCAAGAGCTTCCGCTGCCTGAAAAACCACGTCATCAGCAAACACTCGCACGAGCTGCCCGCCGACGAGCTGCCCGCCGTCGACGCCATCGTTAGCTGCGAGGTCTGCGGCAAGAAGTTCCCGAACCCGTCGCAGTACCGCGCACACCAGCGGAGCCACACCGGGGAGAAACCTTTCCACTGCGACATCTGTGGGAAAAGCTACCGTCTGAAGGAGCTGCTGCGCGACCACCGCTACACACACACCGGGGAGAAACCGTACCGCTGCTCGCTGTGCCCCAAGACCTTCAACCTCGCCACGAGCTTCATGAGGCACCGCAGCATCCACAGCGGCGAGACGCCGTACAGCTGCCGCGACTGCGGTAAACACTTCCGCCTGTTCACCTTTCTCAAGGCTCACCTGCAGACCAAAGCTCACGTGAAGCAGACAGGCGCGCAGGGAAACGCCCCCCCGCCAATCAGCAGCATCGAACAGGAGGTGGTCCCGGGCGGATCCATAATTGCTGCCCAGCTGGTGTCGAGTCTTTAAAGCAAAACGATGAAACGTAAACACAAACGGCGAGTGGGAGAACTCGCCGTTTGTGTTTGCGGTGTTTAAGAACTCAGCGGCCACAGTCGCACTCTGCACCAAAGCTGTGAGCGTGGCGCCGCGTGGTCGTCAAACTCGTGTCTGTTTGGTAATAACTTGTGTCATGTGACGTCTGTTTATTGTGAAAACAAACTCAGATGCCGAATTTGAATATAAATGAAGAATGACGTTTGCATTATTTGGGGGCGTGGCCTCTTTGACAGGTGAATGACCGTTCTTTATATACAGTCTGATTCCAGCCCACACACCTCTGCACTTTCAGAATAGAGCGCCGGGAGTTTTCCCGTCTGACCAGTTGTCCTGCTTTGTGACCTTTGACCTCTGTCGTGTCGGCCGTGCCCCTCTGTGATAGCTGCTGATGTAATCCAGCTGTTTTCCAGCTGAACAGAGGTGAGATTAAAGGATCCAATCAGCAGATAATCCTGACCCTTTGTGTTTGAGCAGTTTAATCACCGTGGCGACCGCTGATTGCCACTGTTGTCTCTGTTTACCTGTTAAAGACCGCCATGTTTTCCATGTCAGCGTGTCAGAGCTGCAGCTGTTAATCCCAGTTTGGATGCGGGCTAATAATTGTGACAGCTTATTGGCTGACAGGCATGCGAGGAGCCGCAGATTTAGCGTGGACGTCGGCGAGCTGGTCAGGCGCTCAGACGCTCACAGGGTTAAAGCTGAAGTGACAGCGGGAATCAGCTGTTTACGTCAGATTAATCGTGTCTTTGTCATGTTTTACTGTTGTTATCCACACAGGAAACACTCGGCGGTAACTTCCTGTCTCTAATCTTTGAAAGCCTCGTGTTTCAGCTCGTCTCTTTATAAACATAAAGACATAAAGAAAATTCTGAGAATAAAGAAAGTGGAAATGTGCAGATTACAGTAGTTGTTTGTGCAGCTGACCAGCTGCCCTGTGATACAGCATCCGTGCTCCTTATTGGTCGAGGCTGTAACTAGGGGTGGGTTTTTATAATCGATTTATCGATTAAAATCGATTCTGGCTTGGATAACGTAAAATCGATTCATTAAAATCCTGAATCGATTTTTTAATATAAATT